GGTCTTCAGCTTTCCTTCCTTCCCTCCCCTTGGCAGCCTCTCCCCAAGAAACCTATGGCCCAGTTGTATGTGACGGTAGTTAGAAAATGCCGTAAAATAGCAGAGACTCTGTTTAAGTATGTACAGAGTATTTACACTGGACACTGGAACATATATACAGTCCTTAGTCAAACTCACTGTTCAGACTGACAAGGTGCCGCGCAGACCAACGATCCCACCAAAAGAGACGTGTAGCGCTGTACAAGTCACAATATATATGTACACTGACCAATCAGGACACAGCAATTAACACTTAGCTGACTCATGGTGATTATGGCAGAGTCTGATGCAATCTGCCTGTCACCTGACTCCTGACTGACAGCTTGCCAGTAATATATCAAATACTGTCAGTATGGTGCTGGCTGAGCACCGGGGGGCAGTCTGCAACGACGTGCAAGGCACTTTGTCCTGCATTGCCTCCCCACACTGTCTCCTCTTCCCTCATCCTAGCAACTCCCGTATCCTCACCAGTCCCTGCTTTCTTCTCTCCTTCACATCCACCAATCTACTTTTTACCCCCCCCCCCCCATCTTAGGAGCTGCGGTGGCTCAAGTGGTTAAGACGCTGAACTGCAGGCTGCGGAAGGTCGGTAGTTCAGCAGTTCGAGACCCGAGTGTGCCGCATGACAGAGTGAGCTCCCGTCTCTAGTTCCGGCTCCTGCCAACCTAGCAGTTCGAAAGCAAGAAATTGCAAGTCGATAAATAGGGACCGCTTCGGTGGGGAAAGGAACAGCATTCCGTGCGCCTCGGTGTTTAGTCATGCCGGCCACATGGCCACGGAAACGTCTTCGGACAGCGCTGGCTCTTCGGCTTTGAAACGGAGATGAGCACCGCAACCCTAGAGTCGGATTCGACTGGCTTTCGAGCAAGGGAAACCTTTACCTTTACTTTTTACGTCTTATTTATTTGCTTTATTTATATCCTCCCTTTCTCCACAATGGGGCACGGTTGGTGCTGCATTGGCCTCAGGGCTCCCAGAAGCTCTGCCAGCTTTAAGTTCTCTGTGACTGTTCATTCAATGTTGGGGAGGGGATTTAACCCCCTCCATGTATTATTTAAATGTTTAAGATTTTTCTGCAAACCTGGGGTGGTCCCCCGAGTCTGAAGGAAAACCCTTTTTGATATTGTGGCATGTTCTTCTCCTGACTGATCTGATCAGATCAAGGGGCAACTTAAAACATTGAGGTACAATATCTTCCCACTAACTTCATAAATAAGTTGGAATGAGAGCTACTAATTGCCAAAAGCTTCCATAGCTATGAGTTTTATGGATGAGTAAAAATTTGAGCCTGAATCTCCTGTGTTCCAAGCCAGTGCTTTGACCAACTGATCACTTTTGAGAGGGTATAGGCTCTTAGAATATCTGTATTGGGGGAGGGAATGTTTAAAGCAGAATTTCAGGCCTTTAATTTGAAAGCCCTGTGTTCTGAAGTGATAAGTGTTATAGTTTGTGTGTCTGTGTTGCACAGAGCTGTCCCAATCTTTCTGCACTTAATCTCTTATTGTATTACCTTGAGCATTCTTGACAAAGTTGATTTCTATTTCTCATTCTGCGGCAGTAGGAGAAGTTGAAACATGGCTTCTAAATAAAATCTTCCTACAGAGTCATCAGACTGCTGTTAACACATTTGTCTTACTCATTTCTTTGATCTAAATGTGCCTTTTGCATAACTTTGATTAGCGGCAGGGGTGGCCTGTGCATTTTCCTTGAGCCGTCTCCCTGTCATCCCATTTCTTTCTTATATTACTTATATCACTCCTCATTTCATTAACGGTCTTCTTCCACCTTAACGTTTTGGCATCTAGTTTTTCAAACTGTAGTTCACAGTAAAAAGCAGCTTCTCATAATTCCTGGTTTTATTTTGCCCGCTGCATGCCTTTACAAAATGGGCCCTACCAGGGGTCATTTCGTAGAAAAAGAGGTGCAGGAGCTCATTAGCATAACTCATTAGCATAACTTATTTGCATATGCCACACCCCCTGACATCACCGGAAGTGTGTCAGAAGGCAACACCCACCACTCGGGCTCCACTGGACTGTTTTGGATTGCTAGCTATTGGGGGGGGGGGAACGTGCAAATCTGTCCTCGCAGAGGAGGGAGAGCTTGTACCTGAATAAAATTTGGTCTTAAAGGTGCCACTGGACTGTTTCGGACCGGGGGGCCGGGGGGGGGGCTCTGCAACTTACCTGGCTGCTTCTTGCTCTGACTGAGGGCTGCTGGGAGCAGGGGGTGGGGCTTGTTGCATGTGCCCGCCCCCTGGGCTCTTTACTGCCAGAGCTCCGCTCCTGTGCGCTCCTGCAGGAAATGACCCCTGGGCCCTACAGAATTTACCCAGTTGGCCCAGCTGCTGGCCACAAGACCTCAATGAGGAGTTCATCCTTCCAGTTTTATTCCACCCCACCCCACTCACAGCACCACCAGTGGGATATGAATTACAACCACCAGCAGGATATGAATTAAATATATGGTTCTCTAGTAACCTGCAACCCAGATCCCCTGTGGGTGTGTTTTGTGAGATCCTTTTCGTCCCATTAAGGGGTTTCCCATCCCTACACACACACACACTCCAAACCACTATGGATGTAGGGAGAGCTTTGGAAATCTTGCTTATTGTCTTGGTAATTGTGCTCCAAGTCAGGCTTTTGTTGAATGCAGACATCAGCCACATAACACCACTTTCAACAGCGACATTTTAACTTACGTAGGTCAGACGTGGCAGAAAACATTTGCAAAGGAGAGGAAGCCCCACATTGGGACTGCAGCTGTGCAGGCCGGCCACGGACATTTTATTTCTAACGAAAAGACTCCAAAGGGGGGGTGCCGCACCCATTTTGGAGCTGGTGCATGTGCAGGATTCCCAGCCAGTGCACCACGCGCTCTGTGGGCAAGTTCCCCTTTTCCCGCAGTTCCTTTTTCACTGCCACAAGGATAGGAAGCTTTCTAGCATGCTCCGCTGATTTTTCTGCTTTGTCATCTTTGTGGAAGAGAGAAACTCTTTTGTCCATTGAGGATTGATTTGTTGTACTTCTTCAGGATTCAACTTTGTGGGAGGCATGCCTCTTTGTTGGGGGGACCCCCGCTGTGTCGTGCTTGTGGTCCCTTGTGATGGCATCGAAGGCACTGTTTAAAAAAATGATCAAAATGTGGAACAAAAATGATGCACAGTGAAGAGCATGAACTTTGCCTTCGGTATATAGGAGAGGCCCACAATGTTGGAGCCTGTTTGATTTGCCAGTGCTTTACCCCCCAAGGGCCGGTCAGGTAGGGCCTCTAGGCTGAAAGGGATCTTCCTCAGATCCTTCCAAAGGAACTCTGAGTTCGGGTTCTCTTCCTCCGGCTCTGACCACTGAGATCCATTCTGGACCCCCACCAGTCCGTTTGCTTCCTACGGGCCCAACTATCACGAAGGCTCCAGTCCCTCCAAAAAGAGCCGCTTTGGTCGCTCCGGAGGCAGAATCTAGGCACCCACATTTGCCTACTCCAGGACCATCGACTAAAGTCCAGTCACACCCGGAACCTCCAGTGAAGAGAGAGACATTATAAAATCAAAGCATAAGGACAAGATCGAGGCTGCACCCAAGTCGGGACGCGCCAAATCTTCTAAGGGTCCGCAGACTGATCGGGACATCATCCTAGTTCCCCCCGCACACCTCGTTACCACACTTTGCCTCCTTGGCCGGTTCCTTTTCAGATGTAGTTGGTGACGAACCTAGCATCCCTGCAGGACAACTGGTACCCTCGGAATTGGCATCTCCCTTATCTTGGCAGCCTTCAGCTCCCCCACAGCATTCTTATTACACGTCACCATATATTTAAACTGATGAGCAGGCCATCACCCTCAAACTTAGAGGGGCATGATTTGCATACATGAGCATACATGGATACCCACACCACACTGGTTCTGTTCCGTTCTCCATGCCATGAGCCCGAAGAAGAGAGATCCACAGCATCTCATTATAGTTCCGAGAGTGCTTTGGAACGGTCACCTGACAACGCCATGGGCGACCTGACCCCGGTATCTCCTAGCGAAGGCCTCTGTCTCTATGGAGAGCAAATGCTAAGGATGGCGGAAAGCCCTGGACATTGATGTTTCCACTTTGGACAATCGTCCGAAAGACAAGAATATTGAGTTGTCTATATGCTGATAAAGGAGCTGCGGTGGCTCAAGTGGTTAAGACGCTGAACTGCAGGCTGTGGAAGGTCGGTTGTTCAGCAGTTTGAGACCCGAGTGTGCCGCATGACAGAGTGAGCTCCCGTCTCTAGTTCCAGCTCCTGCCAACCTAGCAGTTTGAAAGCAAGAAATTGCAAGTAGATAAATAGGTACCACTTCGGTGGGAAGGGAACAGCGTTCCGTGCGGCTTGGTGTTTAGTCATGCCGGCCACATGACCACGGAAATGTCTTTGGACAGCGTTGGCTCTTCGGCTTTGAAACGGAGATGAGCACCGCAGCCCTAGAGTCGGATTCAACTGACTTTCGAGCCGGGGAACCTTTACCTTTTTATATGCTGATACTCCAGGTGTAGTTGCTTTTCTGATCCTGGAGGGTCTCTCTGACCTCACAGTTCCAATCTGGCAAAAAGCAGCCTCTATTCAGGCTGCTTCTCGTCAGATCAGAAACTTATATCGAGAAAAGCAAGATTCCTGCAAGTTTGTCTGCACATCCACCACCATCTTCATTAATGACAGAAGACATGCAGGTACGTCAGTGGCCTGGCCAGCATTTATCCCCAGCTGACAGGGAAAGCTGCTGTCTGG